TTTACAACATTTGCTCTAGCTAAAGATATTGGATAGAATTTGCTAATCAACTGCAACCACTTCCCACCCATAAAGCTGATAGAAAGAAGGGAAAAACAGCTAGTGAGATCCAAAGACATAAACACTTTTACTTAGAACTCTGTAAAGAGAAATCCCTCTCTCTCCATATGGTTTTCTCTTGGCTCTTAATCATCTCTTCATTGGCTTCCAGCTGGCTGTCTCACTATCATCTAGCAGGATCACTAGCAAGACCAACTTGTTATGCCAAAGTCAGGCACAGAAAGATGAGAGCTAGAGAGCCACGTGGTTGGATGCAGCACTCTACTACGGGCAAATCTAGGACAAATGATGCATGGCAGGGTCACTTCACTTGCCTCAGCAGAGCAACCACTGCTGTGTTCCCAAAACACAGCAGCCGGTCTGCGTTTGCACTTTTTCAGGCGTGGGAGTGAAGAATGACTACTACAATTGCAGCTACAGGGAAAGTCTACAGGCAGAAGTGTAATTACCTGAGTGGGAATTCTGGCAGAAAACCCAAACCTCTTTCTCTCCTTAAATAGAAACCAATGCTATGCAGTCACCATGGAGAGATTACATACAGCATTTGGATCACATGCAGCACTGAAATACAACACACAAGTCAGCCACAGAGCAGGTTTAGAGATGAACAACCAACAGTCATTTCTTTATTGACTGCAGCCACCCAGTCAGTGGCTCCCCTTCTAGACATCTTCCTCTTCCCAATCTTACAAATATAAAGCTATATGTCAAAACTCAGGCTCAGCATTAAAGGCCAGCTCTGCAAGCTGTTTAGCCCACCTGGGAAGTACCCAGAGCCTGACATGGAAAAGCCTGAGATAGAAGCCCTGACAAATTAACCCACTACTACTCAGGTAAGATTTCAAAAGTTGGGAATAGAAGAAACCCCCATGGAAAGAAATATAATATAGTGCCTGTCTGTGAAAGCCACTTTGTTTTAGCTAAGCAGACAGTCTTTGAAGTGCAGCAGTTCTTGTAGCCTGCAGAGGATTGCAAAATTTCTGTTTTGCTCCATGTCCAACATATCTGGTTTCCAGTCACCTTATGCAACCAGGCCCACCTCTTCAGCTCTCTCTCTATCCCCTCCCTCTGTCCATTTCATAACCCAGCTCATTTTTGTCTTCTGCCCCCATCAGCCTCCAGACTCAACCCCAACTTCACCTCCCATCTCCTGGGGTGGATTTTCCCCCTTCCCTTCATCACCCATGTGTCTAGTGGACAGCTTCCTCCTCGTGATTGTGGTAGCACCCTGGGGAAAAGCCACCAGCACACAGGGAAAAATGTGAACCCTTTTCCCTCTTAATGCACTAGCACAGTATGGGTTGAAGTCTTTTAGAGGCAATAACAGCCAGGGCACTTCCTCTGCAGCTGCCCAACTATTCAGCCCTGTTTTCAACAAGAAATGTGGCTGTTCAGGAGTCCCTGAAAAATCCACCCTGTTGCTTTCTATTGTTTGAAGTCAGGAGGAATGTTGTTAGACTAAAAACATCAGAAATTTATGTCTGTCCTTCAAATCAGCCAAGCTTTGTTTTGTTAATAACTCCAGCCAGCCTCCAAGCCTTAGAAGAGCGTTTTTTATCCACATACTTGTCAGGCTGGCGATACTACATGGGTATCTTTCACTTACTGAGACCAGCAGAGTGTTGCTGTGTGTATCAGGGATGCCATTCCACAGACAGTCCTTTTCTCACCTCTCTTCAATAGCTTACTAATTTAGGAGCATAAATCAGAGACAGCTGATAAGGCTGTAGACACCAAGATGTCCTGCCTCCCATTCAGTTTTCATAATCATCCTGCAAGCCTCCTACAGCTTCACAATTGGGAGTTTTGAAAACAACTCTCCTCATTTTAAAATATACATCCATTTCAGCTTCCTACAAATAACAACAGCAATTATAGGAGCAGTTGTTTCCAATTCTGTAGTGATTTTCCACCCGCATGCAGATCCCTGTGACTGGCTTTTGTTTTCATTCTCATAAGACAATGCATAGAGGCCTGCACCTTTTTTCCCCTTCCCACCATTACTAGCCTTCTCAGAGCTCCTTTCTCCTCAGTTTCTATGTTGTGCTTCACATAGGCTCTGTTCCATGGGTTTTTTTAAAGGAAAATATCCTATATTTATTTACAAATAATCATCTTCTTTTTTTCCAACCAACACCACACATTCCTCCTTGACTGTACTGAAATTTGCTCATTCTTGATTTTACAGATTGATGAAAAACTGCTAAAATGCAGAAGATTTTATGTCATCAGTCAGCACAAGTGTGAGATTAGTCTCCTCTTGAAAGGCTGTAGCTCCGATTGTTCAAAAACATACCGTTCACCATGTCATTTTAATCACATGCATAAGATATTAAAAGATCAGGCTGTGTATAAATTCTGTTGAGATCTGAGACGGTTCATTTCATAAATATGAATTAGAGCCAATTTTATGGCACTTGTTACATCCTGTTACTCTGTTTCTTCAAACCATCACTTCATTTTACATACCAATAATCCATTTTAAAAGCATAAATCATAAAGGTGACCTTTTTATTATGCTACAGCCTATGGTTAAATGTAAAAACAATGTTCTTACTTTGATAACTAACATTCAGTTTCTATTTTATCACCTTATTTGTGTTTGAATGGAAAAAAATCACCTTTTAGCAAGGACTAAAACTTCACTTATTTACTTGTAAGTTTTAGAACTGCATCATGACAGCAAGTGTTAAATCAGAAATGCAAACAAGAAGCTCTGCCTGTACATCATGTTCTGCCATACATCAAGCAGCAGTCATATTCCTGCATTATCACATACAGCTTGCAATCATCTACTAAAGAGATAAGAAACAGAACAGCAATGGGAAATGGACAACTGGCTGCCAGGACAACTGGCCACGGCCTAGCAAGTGCCACTCATTCCATACTGTGAATAGAAGCCTGGGGAGCAGGCAGCTCTGCCCTTCGAGCTCTGATTTTATAGGGAAGTCCTAGTGTACAAGTCACACAATTTGCAACATGGAAAGTTAACAATGAGATAGAGGCAAATCAACCAAATGAGATATTTCCTAAAAGTAATGTTAAACAAATGCCATCAAAAAACCCCCATCTAAACAGTTTTTAAGAGCAGTATTAAACAAATGCACTTAAAAACTATCAAAATACAGTTTTATGAGTGATGCTCAAGACTGCAACCTGAAACAAGCTGTTCATAATGTTTGACTGAGTTGCTTATCTCATAATTAGATTTTAATTTCTCACATATAATTGAGTTGCCTTTATCTCATTGTTATTTTTCATATTACAAATTATGTGACTTATACACTTGGACTCCCTGATAGTTTCCTTGCAAATAAATCAGAGACCCAGCAAAGCCACCTGCTCCCCAAGGTTCATTCACTGCTGAACAAGCACCATCTGCTAGTTAGTGGTCAGTTGTCTCAGTGGTGAGCTGGTGATGTATCCAGCAACCAGCTGGTGGCACCCAGTTGTCCTAGACCCACAGCAACAACAGAAAAACCCCACACCAAGAAAGGTTAACTTGCATTCTGTGTGAATTCAAACAATCAGGTCTCTGTTGATTAGTGATGAAAAAAAAGTTCCTTGGAAGACACTTTTTTCTCAAGAGACCATAGATGCACATTTGAAAGTTCCTTGCAGCTCTGGGATAGCAGCACAGGTAGGTACAGTCACACACCTGTGCTCTGAGCTGGGTGGAGACCTCAGCTACAAACTGGAAGCTACACAATAGCCCTAGTGCAATGCTTTGCGCAGTCAAATAAGGCACACTGAGGAGGGGAAGATCACTTTAGACTTGCTGCCATGCAAGTAGGTTTATTCAGTTTTCCAACCAGACCAGTTGAGGGTTTGGACTGGAGGTAAGAGGAACACATAAGGCTGCCTGCAGCCATCCAGTCAGAATGCCCTCTTAGGCTGGAGTCACTCCAACTCAGTGGTGGGGTTCATTTGATTCTGAAAGTTCACTAGCCTTACTACTTGAAAGTCACATTAGTCATGTGAACATCTCCATTTTACATATGTGGAATAGAAATTCAGCATATTTTACAAAAAGCTTTCCATTACAAATCAGGGTAAGGTCACGAGGTGACATTCATTTGATATTCAGGGTCACAGAATTTAAAAAAATAAATAAATTATGTGAATATTTATAAAAAACCCAACAATTTACTACTTCTAACTATAACAGCTGATGATCTCAGCACAGGTAACCCAAGACACGACGTGTTATGATCTTCGACTGAGAGCACTGCCTTAACATTTCTCTTGTATCTTTTATAAGAAGATCTTGGACATATAAATCATGGCTACTTCCGTAATTTTTTTAATTTCCTACAGATACCTACCTCTAAGGATGTGAACAGACTCTAACAGTAATAAAGAAATTGTACAATGATTTCAAAAGACACTTAAAACATCTTACAATCCGTCCCTGTCTCCTGACTACATTTCCTCTCATTTAAAAGCTTGCCTTGCTGCTTGGAATTCCAGATTCAGGACTGATCTTTTTCAATTGTCAATGGTGCTGAAGAATACTTAAGAAATCCAACCAGAGGCTAAAACGTGTGGGTATTTCACATGACAGTATCTTGCTCATTAAAAAAAAAAAAAATAAGAGAAAAGGGAAAAAAGGCTGTAGATACTGAAGTGTCTTAAGTTCCCACAGGAGGTTCACTAATACCCTGAATGGCCTACAGAGATTTGCTGCTCTCAGACCAACATCCCAGCTGCACAGAAGAAACACATTCCCCCTCAACTTCAGATGAGGGTTCCTGGACAAAGACGATGACGTCTGTATGCCAGGGCAAAAGGAAAAAGCCTTCTGTGCTATTTATTGTAGCAACAGGCCCCAGCAACAGTTAGACTCCACGGTGATAATAACCAAGCTCCCAAGGCAGAGACTTGGACATTCCTACTCCATGGACTTGCAGCAAGGAGAAGCAGGTGGCCACAGTTTCACCATGGGCTGCAGTATTTCTAACAGGGCTGCTGTCGCACCGCTACCTTCCGAGGATCTACAGAGCAACCAGGAAGCCCAAAGCCAGGTAGTGACTTCTTCCAAACAGATTCTGTACAAAGTTTGTTAGGAGATGTCTTAGCACGCAAGCGTGCAAGGCCACATGCATGCAGGGAACCGGTTTTGCTGATGTTCACAGTAAATCTGACTTTGTCTGGGAGCTCTTTAAGAGGTCTATCACCCATTCAGCTTAATATAACCCTTAAGCTACAAGGGAGACAGACTTACCACTGGGCCATGTGTATGACCTGATTTTACAGCACCTGAAAAGTGGCTTTTCACACTCTGTCTCACTTGCCTCATTAAATGAGGCGCACTCATCTCCCATGCCAGTGATGAACTGCAGCAAGGTGTGTTTTGCCTCAAAAAGTTATGAAGTAAGGAGCTTGTTTATGTGCAAATATTATAGGATACATTACAAACTTCACTAAGTGACTGTGCACAGGCTGTGTTGGCTGAAGCCCAGAAACACGAGACAAAAGTACATGTAGTTCTAATCCTACATTCTTTGAAGGTACAAAGCTATATATTTAAAAGGTGCACAGGTTACACCTAATCAAGTGCTAACTTAAAATGAAGTTTCAAATTTCTGATCAATGAGCTGCATACAGAAGGCATGTAAAGTCCAGAAACAATACTCCAATATAGTCAACTGGATTACGGACACATTTGGGCTTAAGGTCATTGCTTCCTTTAAAAAATGCTCCAAGAGACCTTTCCTCACAATCAATACCCACCTGTGACAGAACATGGATATATATCAGAAATGTATGTGTCTCCCATTCCACTTGGAACCTGCCAATTCTATGGGACTATTCTAGATACCATCCTAAATGTTTAGAAGCCCAAGGAGCTTCTCATTTGTTTCCTTATTTTCTTGTAGACTAAAAATGACAGCATTTCTGGAACAGGGGCTTTCCCCTCACAGGATGGGCCAGCTGGGCCAACAAGTATGTCAAAAGATAAAGCCAAACTTCAAGATGAGACTAGTGAGAGAGACTCCCCTGAAGAGCTACCAGAAAGACTTAAATCTTCTCAAGAAAGCAGCAATGCACAAAACACAGGTAAACAGTAATTGAAGTTCATACCAGCTCCACAAACAAGAGGTCTAGGAGCAAATAACCTTGAGAGGCTATTGCTACAGCCAACTTCTATACCCAGAAACATTCATGCTGTGACACCACAAGGATTGAGATCTTAGCATGGGTTTAAAAACAACACTATAGCAGCAGAATTTCCTATCTGATTATAGTGTCCTGCAGCATGGCTCAACCCTCACTACCAGAGCAAGCAGCAGGGTAGATACTTCTCTTGGCAGATGCCAGGAAGAAACAAAGAGAACAAACTCAGCCTTGTCCCCAGGGGTAGTCCTCTCTAACTGGGATTACAGCACACTGGGAAGACAGGTTGCCCACTTGAGGTCTGTCCGTCCGCTGTTACAATGAGACACGTTTTTACAACAGGAAGGTCAATGCAAAGCCCCTGACTAGCACCAGGTAGAGACAGTAAGTAAATACCATGTTGTTCCAGAGGCTTGCAGCCAAAAGATGCAGCGCCAGTTATATAGAGAAAATTATAAAGATTTCAGAAATAGTCATGATGATAAAGTCTGCTAAGATTTTTTAATTTTTAAGCACAAGTGAACAGTTAAGCCCAAACTTTTCTGTAATTGTTGGATACCATTCTAGTAAAAGTTGCTAATGGAAATATAGCACCACCTTTTGTGCATTTAAACCCCCTACATTTGTAGTTTAACTCCTGTATTTTTAATGTACCATGAACAGTTTACATTTTACAAAGACATTAAATGGAAAATCTACAGTGTCTCTTTACTCTTTGTAATAAACAAGGGTTATAATAAAATATTTCAGATTTAACACAAAAAGAATAATTACTGGTGTTTGCTATTCATTAAAGGGGACTTAGCTCCCAATACCACAGAAGGATGCAAGAGGATTTTATTTCAGATTGAACAAAACTATTTGCTTGCTCTGAAATCACATTTCATTTCCTTTCAATCTCCTTTTCCTCTCACTAGCTAAAAGATAACTCCACAGGAAATTTCTAAACAAAGTTTTTTAAATCATGCTTCAGTATTCCATTTCAAGATGAAAAAACCCCTGTATCATACCAAGATATTTCAACTACATTTTTCTCCTGAATGAATAGATTGGTAAAACCAATACATATTCACATCACTTGTCAATGTTGCCCACTCATCATGCTTTTATTTTTAACAAGATGTGTTTTGCTATATACTGGCTTCTGGCATTTACATGTTCTGACTGACAGCTGAACCCCAGAGCTTTTTGGGCAACTGGTTTGGTTATTTTAAGGAGAGTCATGGAGTCAGCTTCTACAAGGTTGGAGATGTTCTGTATTTTTGTTTTACAACTGAAAAATAAGCCAACATTGTCATACTCACTCTGCTTATAAAGACTGGCAGATGTCAGCTATCTGTGATTTTTTATTTGGTCCAAGTATTCTTTGTACAAAAGCTCGAACTTCTGCCAAGAGAGGCTGGGCAGATGGTAGGACTGTCAGCTGAGGGTTGAAAAACCTGATGGGCCTTGGCAATAAACTTGTTCGTTGCTTATTCATGTCTAATATGTGGAAACTACACAGCCACTCAGAAGAGTTACCAAAATAATTTGGGTTTTTTTCTTAATTGCTGTTTATAAATATATAATTAAGTGTTGGAATGCTTATGATCAGACTCAAATGTAGCAATGCTAATACAACAAAAATCATATCCCATGGAAACATATGAAAGCTTGGGTTCATTTAACGAAAGAACAGTGATCTTTACAAGATGGCCCATCAGCAGGCTTGTACTATTCCATCCCAGCCTGCCTTTCTCTGACCAGAGCACAGAACCCTTGAGAACTTGACTTGTGAAGAGCTCCCTATGGACTCTCTTTGGAAGCATGCTCAAAACTGGGCTTCACAGGCCTTCAGCACATGCTTCCATGCTTTCTTCAATGTGCACTTCTGGATGTAACTAGCTACAGTAAGAAACTGAATTAGGTGCCTGCACCATTTTTCAAGCGACTGAAAAGCTTACGGCAAAGTTTAAGCAGTGAAGAGAGCATCAAGCAGGCTGCCTCCACTGGACCTTCATGGTATGTAACCTTTTAAATGAAAGCTGTGGCATTGGATATACATCACAAACTTTTGTTTGGATGTCAAGTGTTCTACAAGTTTTAATGTTTTCATCTTTTGAAGATGCACTGCTCACCAGCAAGGTCATCAGTAAAGCATGGCCTTTACAGGAAACAGAGAGGCAAAACCCATCAGACATTCTTGAGGAGCTGAGGATGCATGGAATAATCAAGAGCCAAAGTACTGCTGCCAGGACTGGAGAAGCATATGAAAACAAGGTAAGTGTCATTGTACAAGACAGGGCCTTTGCTACAGCTCTGACCCTGGTGTGAGCACCCTGAGATTCCATTTCTGCACTTGCAAAGCATGCAGGCATGTCTCCTCTAAGAATTCAGAAGCAAGTCGTTCAGCAGAGAACCTGTGTTATGGTGATGCTGAAAGAACAGAAGCTGGCAGCAGTTTTCAGTTGTTTACAGCTTCCAAGCTTGTTTCAAATGGAGACAGAGTACTAAGAACTTGCTCTTTGAAAAACTAACTGGAAGTTACATGCCACAGTCTTTAGAAAAAAGTCCACAAAACTAGAAGAAGTACTGCTGTCAGGGATTATATTTACACTTAAATCAAGACAATCTACAATTCACATTTTATCTCAGACTAAGAAACCATTACAAAATGGATTTTAACAAAATTATAGAACTATTATTTGAGTAAGAAGCTAGTATCTGCTCTCTTTTCATTCTGAATGATAACCTGAGGCTTACTTTGGCTTCTGAACTCAAGTTCATACTTTGTGGTCAAGCATTGTGTTAAGGATCAGATGCCTATTCCAGATAGAGTTTCAAGTTCAGATGTCAGGAGGGAGAATGTCTTCAGGGAGTTTGTAAGAAGTTTAACGTATTTGTGGATATGTGTCAGTCACAGCATGATCTGCTTGAACACAGGAACAACTCAAGCTCAAACCAAGGATGATTCTGAATAGTTTTGTCATTTGAAGCAAGCAATTCACACATCTCTAATCTCAGCCACTTACATTATTGAAAATCAAAGAGAAACTTTCATAAGAAGGACGAAACAAGCAAGTGCCACCCTACTGCCTGGCTGCTGGTAGTACCTAACGTTTCCTGTTGCCAGCACTTTGAAAAATGGGACTGAAGGGTGTCTGAGTGCAGCTTCTCCACAGCCTTTGCTCACTTCCCTCAGAGAGGTTTTTTAAGTATCTGAGAGGATTATTCCCTCTGTGGCTAACCTTAGGTGACATACTGCAGGAAGGTTTTTGTCTTTCTATTCCCCTTCTGTATTAAAAAGCTGTCTGGTATTAAATTACCCCTACTCTTATTGACAAAAACTCAGTCTGTGCTGCTTCACCTAAGAGAACTTCTGTCCTCCCAACAACAGCTTTTAAAAGCTAACCTCATACTTTTCACTAACAAAGCCAACTTTTCCAAGTGATATTTCACTATTGAGCTGGGCAACCTACAAATTGTCTGTCACTAGTTGTTAACTATTAGCTTTCCCTTAGCAGCAATGGAAAATTTGGCCTGCGCTCTCTCTCATGAAAGTAATTTACTCTGTTAGGCTTAAGATCCAGCAGATCACCTGTGAAGAGAGGGACTAAAAGCCCTCAACACAGATGCAGTAGAAAAGGTTTATTACCCAGACATATTCCAAATTACTACATGCAGCTCTAGATTTTGAGCATTAACACACAGATAAAAATCACACCTGAAATTCTGGAATCGACCAGGAATAAGCATGAATGGCTTTATGCTAAACTTCATTCCAGCACTAGCTTCAATGAAGAATTGAATTCACAGACCTCACCATTGTGAAAGACTAGTTCAGCCAGATTTGAGATTATTTTTGCAATAACATTAGAGATAGTGATGCCCTTGCAAGAGCTTCCATAGTTCTGCTCAAGTATCTGTGCCCCTTAAGCGTTGTCAGCATCAGTTGTCTTCTCAGGATTTCCTGCCAATGCTGTGAAACAGCAAAACTAAAAATCCTTCAGTCTTTTGACTATCCCTCCCTTAATCTTCAACAAAGGAACTTCATGCAGCACAGACTGAGATGCCTTAATATACCTGTTGAAGTGCTACTGCTCTAAAGGAGCTGTACTTTTGAGTCTATCAGGTACCTTTTTTCCAAGTGTACCTTTAAAGGCACTCCTACATATGAGATAAAAGGATAAGCAAAAGGACTAAAAGCTGTAGTTTCCAACCGAGTGGTCTATGGGAATGTGATCCATTTACCATGGGTTATCACTTACAAAGGATGCACACAGGTTATTATTAACATTTCCATTACTCTTAGCTTTCAGTGTCGGTTTCTTGAAGCTTTGTGAACTCTCATTCTCCCAAAACTGTTTAGCTCAAATCTTTTCTCAGCTTATATAGACACAGAACAATCTGGAAAGCAACCTGCTTGCTGAACACTCAGTTTAATTTGGACATACTGGGAAGAATTTTCCATTCATCTCTTCCTATGCAAATCACAGTTTATCTTGGGTAAGGAATGACATACTCAGTCATACCTTCCCACTCTGGGCTTTGCTAGAATGGCCTTCATAATTAGAAATGAGAGGTTTTATTCTTTTGAACAAATATTTTTCCTTCATTTTTATGATTGAACATTATCTTTTTCAGATTTTTTGTGTGTCATACACGTTGAAAATGTCTCCTTTATCAGTTTTCTTCCTACTGAATCATGCTCCACCTTCATCTCACTAAATGACTCATTCTCAATACTATTTGCAGCACTTAACACTTCTGGCAGTGAAGCCCAACTTCTAGGGTTATTTATGGCAATGAAAGTCTGGGGAGCAGATAACTCAGGAAACTTGTAACAGGATAGTGATTATTTCAACCATAGGTCCTGAGCTTAGCACTGTTAAAACTGCTTATCATGCAGAAAACTGTAGAATTCAGCCTCCTGGCTGATTAAATACATCTTTCCAGGAATAAGTGCTACCCTCAGCAGCAGAGCTCTAGGTTTGGCCTCCTTATTTGTATGCCACAGAGGCCAGCAGTATGATGATTACTAAGATCCAACAAAAGCACTATTAAATCTCCCCAGCGGTAACAAAGTAACTTCTCTAAATACTCACAGCCTCATTATCACGTCTCCCTATCTGCTGGGTGTACAGCAACACTGCAAGCTTCACAGACATCACTCAACAGAAAATGGGAATTCTCACTGCAGACAACACTCACCCATGATTGAGCACTGAGGTTATTAGCACATCATTATTTCACTGTTATCAGAGCCCATCACCTCCATGCATGAAAGAAAGCAGAAGGCAAGCAGCAAAGTGTCACCTCAGCATCAAAATATTCTCTGCTGAAAGCTTTTCATGTCTCTACAGAGAGATGCCCTGGAAAAGACACTAAAGAAACCACAAGCTAGACTGGAAAAAATTCAGTTTTGAAAAGAAGGACATCAAGACTTCTGCTGAAGAGAAGAAACAGGTCATCTAATTCTGCTGTGTATTTTTCCAGTGCTTCCTTTATCACCTAAAACCCTCTACTTTTTATAAATCAGTCTAATGCAGAGAGTTCATGTACAACCTACTACCAAAACCCGATTAATGGCAGCACAGTGGGTCCTCTGTTCATCTTGCAGATGTTGGAAGGCCAGGTTTATTTTCACTGGAAGCCTAGAAGATAGTTTTAGAACTATGCATAGAAGAAACTTCTGGAGCAGGTTTGGTTTTTGTTTGTTTTGGTTTTTTTCCCCCCCCCTACTGCAAAAGATGCACCTTCCACAAACACTAGAAAAAGCTGAATAAATTAAGTGCTAAATGGAGTAACATTCTGATCACATTTGGGTACAAAGGTAGAAAGAACTGCTGCATATGTTTGACACATCTACTTCCATTCCTTGTTACAAAGCATTGCTGGTTTTGTTGTTTTGTTCTACGTTAGGAAAGAAGAACTGAACAAAATGCCACAACAGGGCACGTTTTTTTTTCCAGCAACTGCCCACCAATCTAGAGGTAAACAGACTGAAAAGGACTCACCAAGTTTTGAAAGTCAGGGGGTTCAGACACTCCTCACCCTCACTTTTAGAGGATGAGCCAAGGGTACTGTTGATGGAAAAAACAGCAGTAGAAGCCACAATTATACTGAGGACTTGGTCATTAAGTGTGATAACTTAAAACTGCATTCAAGAATCAATCTGGATCTAAGCTGTCTTACAAAAATGAAGAACTACTCTGCTCCCTGCAGCTGTCTTTTTTTTTAATAAGCAAGTATTCATCATGGGGCACACCTGAGTCTTGCTGCTACTTATCTCTCCTGGGAAAATGGTATCTAACCTTAATTATTATATACTATATATATTATACTA